GTTCTGAGGAAGGGTAACCGGACCCGAAACGTTAACTCTGTTTTCTCCTCCACAGATGCTGCCGGACCTGCTGAGCTTTTCCAGCAACTTTGTTTTTGTTCTTAAAAATAAAGACCTTCTGAAGAAGAGGTGGTGGCACCGTGGCCATGTCACTGGTTAGTAAACGAGAATGCCAGGTTCAAGTTCTGGATTTGAACTCCACCATAGCAAATGGTGAAATGTGAATTTGAAATATCTGAAATTAAAAAAGGTTGCACATAACCAGACAGTTGTCAGAAAAGCCCAACTGGTTCACTAATGCCCTTTAGAGATGGAAATCTACCATCCTTACTTGATCTGGCCTACATTTGACTCCAGATGTGTGCCTGTGGGCAGTTAGGGACGGGCAATAAATGCTGGCCAAGTCAGTGATACCCATATCCTGTGAATAAATCATTTTAAAAGAAAATAAACCCTTTTCTATGCTTTCACAAGATATATAAATGATGTTGCACTTGTCATAATGTTACATAAGAAAGTCAGCACAACAGAATGGCTCAACTGAGTAAAATTTACATTTTTTAATATTTATTTTATAACGAGCAGAATGAAATATTTTGAGAAACAAATAACGGGATGGAACCAGAAAAGCTCATTCAGCCTTTGAAACTCACTCCTCCTACAAACGAGATGGACTTGATGCAATGAAGTAGCTCTTTCTTATCTATTTAATCTTAAGAGATGGTTCTGTACAACTCTGGTCCCTCACTGTTAATTGATTTCATGGTTCAACCTTCTCCTGTGGCTCACAGTTGGCATCCCTCTTGATCTTTCCTGGGCCTAAATGGAACAACTATACTGTCCTTCATTTTCACACCTTCAAAGATCCATAACTCTCTTGAATCGCAGACTAGGTTAGATGGGCTGAACAGCCTACTCCTGTCCATTTTTCTTATGGGGCAATTATATTCTGCATTGGTCTCCTCAATCTTTCCAATCACTCCCATGATCTTTCCTAAAATGCCTCTGATCTCCTCTACCACTGATGTCCAATCAACTTATCTCAGTTTCTGATTGCCCTCTCCCAATGCCGTTGATAGCCCCTCAGTATCGCCGTTCCCCAGGTCATGAACTTGCCTTCCACACCACCCCAGATAACTACCTTTTGTCCAAAGTCTCCAAATCTCAATCACCTTGGCCACTCATCCATTCCCACACCCCTCCATCCAGTTCCATCTCTGCCTGTGTCCCGTACCCATAACTCACCTCCACACCCCCACATCCAGGCATCTAACTACCAGGCTTACTCCCGCCCCAGGGCTTCCAATTCCCCCTCCCCATGTCTCCACCCATACTCGCCGCATCATGAAACCTCAGACGTCCCTGAACCTGAGGCTCCTGATCCCAGCCAGGCCTTGAGACACGCCCCCCTCCCACTACCCGCAGCCTCCCACCAAGCCATCCGCACCTAACTCCAGCTTCAGTCGTGTTAGTCTTAAGGCCACTTGACAAGGTCTCTGCCCTTTCCCTACACCTCGGCAATTTAATCCCTTTCAAGTACTTTGGTGGTGGTCTCTCTGCAAGAACGAAGGAGGATCCCATGGAAACCTATTAATTCTAACAGGTCCAGGTGGGGCGACTGCAGGAAGGATGTTCCCAATGACAGTGGATCCAGAATCAGAGGTTATAGTTTAAGAATACAGTGTAGGCCTGAGATGAGAATGTTTTCACCCAAAGAGTGGTGAACCTGTGGAATTCTCTGCCACAGAAAGCAGTTGAGGCAAAAGCATTGAATGTTTTCAAGAACCAGTAACATATAGTTCTTAGGGCTAAAGTGATCAAAAGGTATGGGGTGAAAACAGTTACAGGGCACTGAGTTGATCATATTGAATGGAGGTGTAGGCTCAAAGGGCCTACTCCTACTTTTTGTGTTTTGGTGCACTCGGCGAATTCAATTTGCTGTGTTGCAGCCTGGGTCTATGGATAATGATTGTAGAGGCTCACATATCCCTTCGATTACATGGTTCAGTAATTGGCACTGCTGCCTCACAGCACCAGGGACCCAGGTTCAATCCACCCTTGGGCGACTGTCTGTGTGGAGTTTGCACATTCTCCCTGTGTCCGTGTGGGTTTCCTCCGGGTGCTCTGGTTTCCTCCCACAGTCTAAAGATGTGCAATGATGGGTCACTGGTTAGCACTGCTGCCTCACAGCGCCAGGGACCCAGGTTCAATCCACCCTCAGGCGACTGTCTGTGTGAGTTTGCACATTCTCTTCGTGTCTGCGTGGGTTTCCTCTGAGTGCTCCGGTTTCCTCCCACAGTCTAAGGATGTGCAGTCTAGGTGGATTGGCCATGGGAAATTGCCCATAGTGTCCAGGGATGTACAGAGTAGTTGGGCTAGCCATGGGAAATGTGGGGTTACGGTGATAAGATAAGGGGGATGAGTCTGGGAAGGATGCTCTTCAGAGGGGCGGTGGGGGCCCGACGGGCCGAATGGTCTGCTCGCACACTGGAGGGATTCTATGATGATGATTATATGAATGCATCTTCCTTGGCCATCAAGTGCTGGGAGGGTCTTGAATCCAGAGTGCCAGGGTGACATTAACCACTGGAACACAAGACACCTCAGTATATACTAAATAAAAACTCTCGGGGATTACATTGTAGGTGTGTGGAGGAAAGGGTAGGCTCCGAGAGACTAATGAGTAGGTTTTTCAATAAAAGCTATCACAAGTCACAAAGTGCCAAATGGCCTCCTTTTGTTCCATAGGCTTCTGTCATCCAAGTAAAATTCTGTCACTGCTAACTGCAATGTCATAAGTCACAGCGCTGCGCTAACTTTATCATTACATTTAGCAAAGATAAGCACACAACAATCTCCTAAATATTTGAAATGCTATATTTCGGTTTACTTCCAAAGAAAAAAATGCTGAAGTCGTGAAACAGTTCTTAAATTGATTTTGAGTCTGCAATTTGCAATCCTCTGGAATTAATGGGATTTGGATTGTTGTTGACTCAATCAAGCAGTAGCTGTGCACAGATAAACAGTTGGAATACAGTCTTTATTGAGTTATATTTACAGGTTAAGCAAGAGATGACACTTTCCTGGAACAATTCCACAATGGGACATCACCAGCCAAGGCATAAGGTTCACTGAGGTCACCCTCATGCAAGAAACGAAAGCTACAAAAGTTAACCCTCTTCACACCACAGGACGGTGAAATGTCTATCACGTCGAGGAGAATGGGGCATCTGCAAACAACCGCTGGAAGGTTCTGAGGTCCAGAAACTTTTAAACCCTGGAAACAAAAAGGTGATTTGTGCTGAGGGAACACTGTCCACGATAACATGGGGAGGATGTTTTGAAAGGCATTGGGAAAGTGGGTGGGCAAGGAAATTGCCATTGAAGAGTAGTGTGCCAGGTTGCTGGCACATCCCCAAATCTGGATTCTTTTGGTAGAAGCAGGTTTGGGGAGTGGGGGTTGGAGCAGGGTCTTTGCCTCAAGTCATGCGTAGTCTGATAAAGCAATTACAAGGCCTATGAAGGCATTGCTTTGTGGCCACTAGTTCTTGTTCAGTACACTGGCAGAGCCCTCTGGAATTTGTAGCCAAGCCAGTGCAAGGATAGCAGAAACAAACTGGGCAGAGAGGTAGATGGGGTCAGTGCTCTGGCACCCTGTCACCTTAAACTTGCAGCTGATTCATTCAGAAGGACATAGCAGCATACGCTTTTAAAGTTAAAATAAAATCATCAAAGGATGCTCCACCTTGAGGTGCCTTCTCTCCTATTGAAGGGCCAAGCTCGAGAAGCTGAATGACCTACTACTATCCTTGAGTTTCTCAGTGACTTCCCTTAGTGTTAGTTGTGGCTCAGTTAGTAGCATAACAGCCTCGAAATCAAGAGATTTTGAGTTCAAGCCCCCTGCAAAACTTGACCATAAGAGTCCAAGCTTGGCATTACAGTGCAGTGTTGAGGGAGTGTGACATTAGACCAGGATCCCATCTCCTGTAACCAGTCACCTCATCAAAAACTAGCCTCTGGATCTGCACACTGGCATGCAGGGATTTGGAATTTCACTCTCTTCTTTACATAGGATTTTCAAGATGGATATTAACCTCTCTATGGAAATCTGCAAGGCTAGATTTTGCATGACAACTTTCTAGAAAGAGCACCTATTTAAGATTCAACTGACCAAAATCTCTGCATCTTCCAAGTGTCTGAATCGGGAGCATATCTCAACTCGGTGTCAATGCAAATTGCTGTGATGTTTGACTGCAGACAGATGCACATTCGAAAACATACAAGTTTGTAGCTGTGTGACGGCCAAGATATGGTTCAAAACTCAGACTGAGACATTCATCAGCTGAATCTCACACCACATGCATTGATTACAGTATGGTAATTCCCTTTGATCTAATATCCCGCATTGAGCCAGCACGCTCAATTGAGACAGATGCGTTCCCTTCTTGATTTGTCTTTGTCCCTGTTTGAATGTCAGCCCAAAGCACACTTTACAGTGCAGCACCTGGGAGCATTAAACATGTTCCCCTGACCCCCCAGAAGTTAATTTATGCTTCAATTCAAAGCTTGAACTTGACTCCCACTCAGGACTTTCTTGGTAAAGATCCTCCACAGAGATTCCACAGGATCGAATCAAACATCACAATTGAATCACAGCACAACAGACCACTGAAGGAAGCCATTCGGTCCATCAGGCCTGTGCTAGGTCTCTCAAAGAGCTGAATAGTTAGTCCCAAAACCCTGCTCTTATTCCCTTTTTCGGCCAATCCCCTTTTCAAACTTAATAATAAATCTGCTTCCACTACTCTATCAGGCCGTGAGCTCCAGATCACTTTAGATAAATGCAAATTTTTATGTAGTTTCTTATGACATCAATTGAAAAAGGCTCAATACATTTCACATCCAGGAATATGCTTTGAAATAGTGACTTGCAATGCAGAGAAAAAAAAAACAATTGTCATTTTCAAAGTACGAGGTTTCACAATTATTAACTGAATGACAAGTTATTCTCTTGTCTGAGTGATGGAGGTAGGAATTGAAAGAACATCAGAACAGGAGTAGGCCATTCAGCCTGTTGAGCCTGATCTACCATTCAATCAGAAAATAACTGGATCACCTCGAAAACACTTCCCAGCAGGATCCTTATATCACTTGATGTCATTTGCATCCAGAAACCTATCAACTTATGTCTGCTCAATAACCTTCACAGTCCTCCAGGGGTTAGTGAATCTCAAAGATTCCACTATCCTCTAAATGAAGAAATTCCTCCACATCTCAGCCTTAAATGGCCTGCTCCTTATCTGAGACTTTATCCTTGGGTTTTAGACTCACCAGCCAGAGGAAACGTCCTACCCACCTGCCTTGTCATGTCCTGTAAGAATTTTATATGTTTCAATGAGACCACCTCTCACCCTTCGAAACTCGAGGGATGGCAGGTCCAGTTTCCCCAATCTGTCTTTACAGATCAAGCTCATCACAACAGGAATTTCCTCTGGTGAACCTCCTTTGCACTTTCTCCACTGCATGTGCATGCTTCCTTAGGTAAGGGGACCAAAACTGTACCAAATGTTCCAGGTGCAGTCTCAACAAGACAAAAACCGATGCTGTAAATCAGGAACAAAAACAGAAGTTGCTGGAAAAGCTCAGCAGGTCTGGCAGCATCTGTGGGTCACCGGTCTCATAACGTTAACTCTGATTTTTTTCTTCACAGATGATGCCAGACCTGCTGAGCTTTTCCAGCAACTTCTGTTTTTGTTGCAGTGTCAACAAGGCTCTGTACAATTGCAACAAGATGTCTTGACTCCAGCGCACCTGGCAATAAGGGGCTACGTGCCTTCTGCCTTCCCTGTTTCTTGCTGTCCCCACCCCCGAATCCAAACACCATAACCCTCTCTCCCACTCTCACTGTTCTTCAGGAAGTATTTCACATCCAGCAGACGGAGACTCAGCTGCTCAGTGAATCTCGTGACAGCCTTTTCATAAAGTAACAAGGCAGTGGGCCTTAAAACACAGCCAATCACCTCCATGAGTGAAGATAAAACTCTATAGAAGATAGCAAGACTTAGGCCTGAGTTGAGGAGGAATTCTTTTACTCAGAGGCTATAAGACCATAAGATATGGAGCAGAATTAGGCCATTCAGCCCATCCATTCTGCCATTTGATCATATTTCTCAACCCCATTCTCCTGCCTTCTCCCTATAACCTTTCATCTCCTTACCAATCAAGACCTATCTCTGTCTTAATGACTCAATGACTTGGCCTCCAAAGCCCTCTGCGACAATGAGTTCCACAGATTTCATCACCCTCTGGCTGAAGAAATTCCTCCTCATCTCAGTTCTAAAGGGATGTCCTTTCACTTGCTGTGCCCTCAGGTCCTAGACTGTCCTACTAGTGAAAAAATCTTCTCCACATCCACTCTATCCAGGCCTCTCAGTATTCTGTAAGTTTCAGTCAGATCCCCCTTATTTTCTAAACTCCATCAAGTAAAGATCCAGAGTCCTCAACTACTCCTTATATAACAAGCCCTTTACCCCTGGGATCATTCTTACAAACCTCCTTTGGACACCCTCCAACACCAGCACATCATTCTTTAGATATGGGACCCTAAACTGCTCTCAGTATTCCAAATATGGTTCAGCCAGAGCCTTTTCCAGCCACAGTACTAATTCTCTGCACTTATATTCTAGCTTTCTCGAAATGAATGCTAACAGTACATTTGTCTTCCTAGCTGCCAACTGAACCTGCATATTAACCTCATGAGAAACCTGAACGAGGATTCCCAAGTCCCTCTGTGCTTCAGATTTCCAAAGCCTTTTATGAAACAGTCTATGCCTCTGTTTTTCCTACCAAAGTGCATAACCTCACACTTTCCCATGTTGTATTCCAACTGCCACTTCTTTACCCACTGTCCTGGCCTGTCCAAGTCCTTCTGCAGCCTCCCCACTACTTCAACACTACCTGCCCCTCCACCAGCTTTGTGTCATCTGCAAAATTAGCATCAATGCCCTCAGCTCCTTCATCCAGATTGTTAATGTATAATGTGAATAGTTGTGGTTCCAACATGGACCTCTGTGGAACTCCACTAGTCACCAGTTGCCATCCTTAAAAGGACGCCTTTATCCCTACTCACTGCCTTCTGCCAAACAGCTCTATCTATACCAGTACCTTGCCCCTGACACCATGAGCTTTCATCTCATTTAGCAGCCTCTTGTGTGGCACCTTTATCAAAGGCCATCTGGAAATCCAAATAGATCACATCTACTGGCTCTCCTTTGTCTAGCTTTCTCATCACCTCCTTAAATAATTCAAATTGATTAGTCAGGCCTCACATCCCCTTGACAAAGCTGTGCTGGTTCAGCCCTAATTTACCAAGCACTTACAATTATTTTGCAATTTCATTCTTAATATTGGACTCTAAAATCTTACCAATGACCGAGGTCAGGCTAATCAGTCTATAGTTTCCTATTTTCTGCCTTCATCCCTTCTTAAGGAGGGGTGTAATATTGGCAATTTTCCAGTCCTCTGGACCTCCCCCCCCACCCCTGACTTCAGTGATTCCTGAAAGATCACAACCAATGCCTTTACAATCTCCTCAAATATCTCCTTCAGAACTTTGGGGTGTAGTCCATCTGGTCCAGGTGATTTATCCACCTTCAGACCTTTCAGCTTCCCCAGAGGGTTGTGAATATTTGGAATTTCCTATCCCAGAGGGCTGTGAAAGCTCAGTCTTTGAATACGTTTCAGGTAGTAATTGAAAGATATAGAAATTGCTGGCAAAACTCAGCAGGTCTGATAGCATCTGTGGGGAAAAACAGAGATAACGTTTCGAGCCCAGAGACTCTTCATCAGAACTGAGGAAGGGTCACCAGACTCGGAATGTTAACTCTGATTCTTGCTTCACAGATGCTGACGGACCTGCTGAGCTTTACCAGCAACTTTTGCTTGTGTTCCTGATTTACAGCATCCGCAGTTCTTTCAGTTTTCATATCAGAATAGGATGGGGTGTAGAGGTGGGTGAAAAACATAGGAGGACAGAATAAAGCTCTAAAGTTTACTGAACTTAGTAGAATCTCTATAGTATGGAAACAGGCCATGTGGCCCATTGAGTCCTCTTGGACCATGCAAAACCCATTCCACCCAGGCCCAGCCCCCTCAGCCTATCCTGTAACCCTGCATTTACCATGGTTAACTTACACATCCCTGGACACTATGGATAATTTAGCATGGCCAATAACCTAACCTGTTCATCTTTGGACTGTGGGAGGAAACCCGAGCACCTGAAAGAAACCCACACAGACACAGGGAGAATGTGCAAACTCCACACAGACAGGTGCCTGAGAGTGGAATTGAACCAGGGTCCCTGGTGCTGTGAGGCAGCAGTACTAACCACTGAGCCACCATGCCAACCCAACTTGTTAAAGAGTCCCAGAGGCTGCAGAATCTTCTAGCGGGGACCCAGTCTTCAATAACTTTAGAGTTCAATAACTTTTGAGTCATAATGTTCATTTGATGAGACAGTGCTGGCACGATGGGTCTAATGGCCTCCTTCTGCATTAAAACAATTCTGTGAATCTGTGAACTGTAGCCATTAGTTTCCTCTCCTACCTCTGATGGCCAGCGTACCTTTTGTCCTTCCATTATTAACATCACTGTCTCCCTACTGCACAAAGTCCCACTCCTCATTCATTGCTCACTTTGTCTTTAAGACACCAGTGTGTCTAATGACAAGCTCCTCATCATTCCCCAAAGCCCTTACGATCCTTAAAGACCATGTTAAAGT